CAAACCCGTAAAACAAGGCGCATCAATACCTTCAGTCTAGAGGCTTTGTTTTTAATTGCACAAACAATATCAAAACTGCAACCAAGCTGCTTGGGTGCATGGTGGCAGCCTGAGCCTGAGCCCGGTTCGCAACCTGCTTTTGGTCTGTTGGCGGCATCAACAATGCAACCAACGCAGAATTTGTAGGCCATGTCAACCATCATAAGTCACTGCCGGGAATTTCGGCCATGGACCTTTCCATCCCCACCAAGCGCTGCACCTCTTCAGGACGACTGGCCTCCAAGTGAGCCTGCCAGCGCAAAAACTACTTGGTTCACGCAGTCGACTTGCTGACTCGGACTCGGCTGACCGCCTCTTGGCGCACGTGAGGAATCAGCGGCAAAGTGCCATCCTAGAACACCAACTGCCACGTGTGGCAAGCAGCACACGCGCAGTCGCCATGGCTGTTTGGTTCTCAACTTGTCATGAATTTCTAAACCAGGGGGGTAGAAGCCCTGTGTTCAACCTACCATGCAGGGCCCAAAGTCACTGCAGCAAAACTGGGCTCAATGCATCTCGGAGTTCCCCTCCATAGCAACCTCAGAAAATGGACCACAAACAACACAGCCGTGAGCAGCATGCGGATTCCTCGCATCCTCTGCATTTCTGACATCATCCGAATTGTTGACTAATATCCTGTGAGACATCCATTCTTTATATTTGCCGCATCATGACATCATTTGCGCTATCAACATCATCTGTTGTGTCTGCATTTACGATTTAGCGCATTAGTCACCAGCGTTTTGAGAGTCCTCAGCGGTGCTCTGCAAATAGCACAAGAGCAAGCACCAGCATTGTCAGCATCACAAGAAATGCCCGCACTATGAGCAGAATCGGCACCAGCACCGCCAGCATATCAGCAGCCAGCACACGAGTTTGCTTGTCCCATGTTGTCCCAGAAGTGGATTCTCCGAACCCCAAAACGCCGTGACACGCCCTTCAAGCGTCCGAATCAGACCACCAACACCGGGCAAAGCATGCCTGGCCCCTCTGCCAAGTGGCTGTCATTGGCAATGGGGAAGCCCAGGTGCAGAAGGTGAACTCCTGAGGCAGATTTCAAGTCAAACTTCAGTTTGTACAAATCAGACAGACCCGCCAAAGGCGCCAAACTTCTGCTCTGCTTTTCGGGTCTCGGCCGCCCACGGATTTGATGCGTTCGTCCTGTTGCAGGAAAGCACCGGACCTGACCGACTCAGGATGAAATTCCTCTAGCATGTTTGTGAGTACAAATACATATGCTAGCACACTCTTCAGGCTGAGGAGAGATCAACACACTCCTCGTCGTTGGCCATTCCAACAACTTCAAACTCCGTCGCTGCATCCTGACTGTCAGGCGCTCTTTCATGTGCAAGGCCTTTGCATTTCCACACCTTGGCGTCCTCGCCCTCCACAACTTCAGCAGCAAATTTGTACTTTCCGACCTTGCATGGCACGGACAGTTATTGGCCTCACTTCCCCACTTTTTGTAGAGGGTTGTTTTGCTCCTGAAGTCTCAACTGCCTGCCCTCCCTGCGCCTTCCGGTCAACGCAGCTGATGTAGCCTTCAACCTTGCAAGGGTGGCTTCAATAGATTGACCCATGTGGAGCCACGAGGCCACGAGGCCACGAGGCCGTAACCCGCACGCGGTCCCCAACCCGAGTGACTCCAGGCACCTCGGTGCCTTGCAACAGGTTTACACGCAAAACCCCGCAAAACGCAACACAGCGCAGCTGTCCACACCGGAAAGAGGCCCGTTGCAGCAAGCAAAGAGCTTGTAATTACACAAGTTGGAGCCACTAGGCATGCATGTGACAAACCTACCGCTCGAGGCCAATCTGCTCCCAAAACCCATGAGAGAGTTTCAGGAAAAGACGTGAAGCCCCCCAGGTATCTTTCATGGAATCTTGCACTCACACAACCAAACCTTCACTATGTTCTGTCTCCAGCATACGGGGGAGCTCGCCGTGCCTAGTTGATCAAAGCGCCCTTTGACGCGAGCCAGGTAGGTCTTCCTGATCTGATTAGCAGCAAACCAGGCTCCAACCTGAGATCGATTCTGGGCCGCCCAATCGTTAATTCAGTCCACACCAAGGAACACCGATCAAATGTCTAATTCTTTCCCTTCCAATCAGCTCCGCAAGGATTCCGCAATGAGAGGAGAACTAACTTCCGAAAGCCTCCAAAGGGGTTGGTGTGCCAACTCAAGGGCCCAGCCCTTCTTGCACAGCTCTTGGTCTTTGCCTCAGCAATGACAGCCCCGCCCAGTTCTTGGCCGTTTCCATCCGTTTCCATTTGCAGCTCGGCTCTTGTGAGCCAACTGAGGGCCGCCGCCAGGAGGACCAATCCGCTGGTGAGGCGATCTAAGCCTCGGGGCTTTCTGCGGGCCAAACAGACGCAACTCGTCGCGCAACTTGGCACGGCCCAAGCAAGTGCAAGTCTACGTAGTCAACTTGGAATGGGGTTGCCCCTGCAAGTTGCACTTGCAAGATTCTGGCGGTGTGTGGTGTGCAAAGTCGCGTTCGCCTCAACTTTCCAAACAGTATGAACTGCATGTACTCTGCGGCTCGGCATGATGGTAAGCCAGGGCGCCTCCACAGTGCCCTGGTTGCGCAAGATGGCGATTAGCGAGTTGAAGCCTTGGAAATCCAGTCGATATCAGCGAGGAGAAGATTCTACATGTGGCGGACCCTGAAGATTCTCAGCAGCAACTACCACAGAACCTGAAGATTGTGGATGCGAAATGTGTTCTTTGGTCACTCGATGGTCTGAGCACGGTGGCGGTAGCTCCCGCAGGGGTGGATGGGCACAGAGCTCGGCTTGCTGACTACCAAGAGCTCCTCGAACAGCGGTGAAGGCTTGGGTCACAGTTGTGTGACTGAAGTGAGGCTTCTGCATCGGCATACGGCATGTGTATTGTGTATATATATATATATGGTACTGCGTTGCCAGCCCCCCCCCCCCCACCAATGGTCATGGGTCAGACAAGTACCCCCCCCCCCTGTGGTTGTGGTCCTGTGGTTGGGTTGTGGTGGTTTAGGGGTGGTTTAGAATTGGTTTAGGGTGGTTGTGGTCCTGTGGTTGGGTTGTGGTGGTTTAGGGTTGGTTTAGAATTGGTTTAGAGTATATTTAGGGTGTATTTAGGGTTAGTTTAGGGTTGGTTTAGGGTTGGTTTATGTTGATTTAGGTGGTTTAGGGTTGGTTTAGGGTTGGTTTAGGTTTACGGTTTAGGGTTTGGTTTAGGGTGTATTTAGGGTTGGTTCAGGGTTAGTTTAGGGTTGGTTTAGGGTTGGTTTAGGGTTGGCTTCGGTTTAGGGTTTATTGTTTAGGGATTGGTTTAGGGTGCATTTGGGGTTAGTTTAGGGTTGGTTTAGGGTTAGTTTACGGTTGGCTTATGTTGACTTAGGGTTGGTTTAGGTTTAGAGGTCTACGGTTTAGGGTTTGGTTTAGAGGGTATTTACGGTTCGTTTAGGGTTAGTTTAGGGTTGGTTTATGGTTGGTTGCGGGTTGGCTTGTCCTGGGGGTGGGGGTGCCGGGGTGTCGGGGTGCGAGTTCAGGGGGCTCGGGGTGGGGGTGGGACCGTAGGTGACAGGATCCGGGGGCTCGGGCCGGGGGGGGGGGGGTCCTGGGGGACCCATACCATATGGGGGGGGGGGGGTAGCAACACGGAACACGGGACCATATATATGCACATATGTGCGGCACATGTGTGATGTTTAAAGCCAGAAGCAAGACAGGTCTCAACCCAGCCTCTGTCTCAGCAACCACCTGCGAGCACTTCGCTTCTTGATGCAAAGAGCGTCTCATGCTTTCACTCTGGTGGGCAGACCATGGTAGGACTCTAATCGCATTCCGTGCCTGGATCGGACCGCGGTCCAGCACGGGGTTTTCCCGGCACCGCACAGCACGGTGCACCTGGGAGCGCCAAATATTGACCTTTCCATCACATGCGCGTTTCGATGATCACTCCGGCACTGGATTCCGACGATTTAATGCTACTTCCAGGATCAATCGCCCACCACTCATCCCGAGCTGGCAGGCATAAGACTACCTCAGACTGAGGACCACCGAATACAACCCTGCATGGAAACTCGCGTGAATACATGTGGGCGCCCATGTCGAAAATCATTTTAAAGTGTTTAGGCACACAGATTCACACAACGGTGGCCATTTCCGATTTGATGTACAAACCCCAATAAGTAACCCTTCGATCACTCAGAATCTCGGTCCCTTCTTCAAGTTTTCATATTTGTCTGGAAAACGAATTCTGTCCACTCTCTCCGCCCGCCCCTTGACGGGCGTGCAATGAGCTCGCCGTCGCGGAGTACGTGCTCCGCCTGCACGCGCCGCCCATCCACCGTGACGCGGCCCGCTGCGATGGAGGCCTCTGACGTCAGCAACGGCACCAGGAGAGTTTGGCGAACAGCGTTCTTCCTGTTGGCCCACTAGGTCATCCATGTGATCGATGTCCGCCCACAAAAACGTATGCGAAATGCATCCAATCTCCCTGTATCCAGCCAGCCTCGTAGTAGTGCCGGGGAAAGGCCACAAATTCGCAGGCGCAAACCTGGCTAGGGGACTCGATGCTTGGCTGGTTGTGCTCAGCGAAGTGCATGATCATTCCTGTCCATGATTGCGCGCCTCTAGAATGCTCCTGCCAACCCAGCGCTGCCTGGTGCAAGAGTTGTTCAGTCCAATCAGCCATTTTGCGCTACACCGAAACCCCAGACCAATCCCTGAGGCTGTGGCTTGACGTGCGTGGTGAAGTCAAAGTCATACGGCCTAGCCCGGGCAACATCCTGGACGCTACCAAGCCAGGGTTTAAGGTGCCTGGCAACTGTGTTGGGCGTGATTTTCCCACACATGGTGACTGACAGCTTGTCAACGCATGTGAAGATCTTTTCGTCGGCACAGACGTTTGCTCCAGGCTCCAGACTCCACATGTCTCAGTCCACCCTGCAACTGGTAGGTGACCTTGCCAACCCATGCAGTGTGGGAGGTGCAAACGATGCAGTGGGTGCAGGTGATGCAGTGGATGCAGGTCATTGCACGATGCAGCTGATGCAGGTAATCCAGTGGATGCAGAACATTGCGAGGATGCTGGATGTAAATTGGGTGTGTTCCCCCAACTGCCTTGCAGACGATCAACACTTTCTTCAAGGCACATTCCATTCTGCACCAACATTGTCACTAAGGCGTATCTTCGGTTCTGTCTGCGGTACATTGGCCTTAATGCGGTTTGGATTGATGAGTATGGGCTCAAGGTGCCGAATGGCTTGTAGAGAAGAGCAACAAGCTGTGCCACAAAACAGAACTCTGAGAAGCAAACTCCAGCAGCCACAAGGCAAACCAAAGCGGCACAAGGCAAACCAAAGCAAACTCTGATGTCCGGTCCAAGACCCGCACGTGTTCTGGGGCAGTGGCACGGCCTCGCAGAAGCAGCAGAAAGTGTCCGGCTTCTATTTGCGGGGAGGGCAACTTGGTGTCGTGGTTTGCGGCAGAACCTGGAACGTGCGCTTGTCCAAAAGCAATCTTAGCGCGCGGCCTCGTTTGGTTGGCTGCGCTGCAGGAGTGGCCTCAAGGCTCAAATGGCTTTGCCTTTCCCAGGTCTCCGGTTGGATTCAAAGGACATCCACTCAACGCAACCACTTTGGTGCAGCTGCTCTGAGGGCTGGTCTGACCTCGCCTCAGCTTCTGTGCCTTGGCCCAAAGCTCCCATCCTAAAAATGTGCTGTCGCAATCAAGGTCAGCGCTGTCGCGTGGCCCATCCACCTGGCCACGATTGGCACTCCCGAAAACCAGAGGAAGCAGTTCGAGAGACATCCAACGCCACGTGTCGACAGAATGCCTGGCCAAATCACTATACCATGTCAATTGTCAGCATCTGAATCTATCATCTGACCTTGCACTAGCTATGCAAGGTAGGTTACAAAGCAGGCAACAAGTGAAGGTCCCAAAACAAGGTTGCACCCTTCTGCTGTGGTTTCCAACTCGTGTTCCGGCCAGCTGTGATACATGCCCATCAACTCACGTCGAAACCTACTGCTCTCGCCCACTTTGCCTCGGCTGATCGCTTGGGCATCAGATCCCATGGCGCCCCGAGAGACGTGTGGCTTGAAGACAGACTTGGCAAAGGACGACTTGCTAAAGGTGCTCTCAAGTCACTTTCGCTGGGTTGTCGTCAAAGCTTCTCCCTCAACTCTCTGGTCATTGATTTCACCCTTCGAGCTCAAAAGCCGCACAGATCGACTCATTGGCAAGCTCCAAATGCTGTTGCATTGTTTTCCGTTTACCTGATGCCTCGCAAGGCCGCACACAATTGTTTCTTCTCCGCAATGCTTCCGTCCAGATCTCTAATCCCAGGCATCACAATCATAGCCGCCTTTTACTGCTCCTCCAAGGGTTGCGCGGTCAAAGTGTCAGGAAACTAGCAAAGGCCTGGGCCGCTGAATTTGACAAACTGAAAAGCAGCATGCTTCCTGCAAGTACAAGCTAGACATCTGCATGAAGGGCTTACATTCCGATGTACTTGCACTTTAAACACCAGCCCAGCTGGCACCAAGACTCATCCGACCTCAATTCAAAGAGAACAAAGGGTACAGCAGGCTATGTGGAACTTCAAACAAGTGGGACACTCACAGCCTCTTGCACGACAAAATGTGCCACATTGATTGACGAGTTCAAATCGGCCAGCTAGACACTGAAGCGCAGGTGAAGCCACAAACTACCTGTAGCTTACACCAGGAGTATGAAGACGTAAAGGATCTGACCTATTTGGTCAAGGAAATCTAACAAGAGCTTCCGTTGTACTGGAATTGAATGAGCAAGAAGAATGGATGCAACCATACGTCATCTCTAGGGATAGATGCCACACGCGCGAAAGCAAGGAAACAACCAAAAAAAGTGAGAACTGGGAAATAGAAGTCTTCCGCATGCGCGCAAGCTACCTCCGTCGCGACGCCTGATGGAGGCACCATGGGCACAGCACTTTTGCGACATTCATTGGTGTGGCACTGAGCTGATTTCGTGGCGAGCGCAGCACCTTTGCAAGGTAAGGTACAGACTTTATGACAGGCGCAGCACTTTCGCAAGGTCAGGTGCAGATTTTGTGGCAGGAGCACGCGCTTTCACAAGGATCAGCTACAGGTTTCGTGGCAGGCGCAGCACTCTCGCAAGGTCAGGCACAGATTTCGTGGTCAGGTACAGATCTCGTGGCAGGAACAGCGCTTTCGTAGGATGGATGGATAGATAGATACTTAGATAGGTAGGTAGGTAGATTAGATTAGATTAGAGTAGATTAGATTAGATTAGATTAGATTAGAATAGATTGGATTAGATTGGATTAGATTGGATTGGATTAGATGGATAGATAGATTTGTTTGACAGGTGGGTAGGTAGATGGATAGATTAGATTAGCTGAGATTAGATTAGATAGATAGATACATAGGTAGATAGACACGTAGCGAGATACACAAATAGGTGGACAGAGAAAGAGATGTAGAAAGGAAAAGAACAAGAACAACACAAAGAGACAGAAAGACAGACAGACAGACAGACAGACAGACAGACAGACAGACAGACAGACAGACAGACAGACAGACAGACAGACAGACAGACAGACAGACAGACAGAAAGAAAGAAAGAAAGAAAGAAAGAAAGAAAGAAAGAAGAAAGAAACAATGAAAGGAAAAAACGGAAATGACAGCAAGAATCAAAGAAAGGAACAAAGACAAAATACAGACGACCTCGGCAAAGCTGCTATAGATCCGGCATGGTGCGTTCCGAGAAGGTCTGAAATGAAATGCCAAAATTACAGTTTGCACAGCCGCCCAAAATCGGTTGCAAACGAGGGGAACCGACCTGGCGCTCAAACATTCACACCATCTCTGCAAGCCTACAAGTTCAAGGATCGACAAAAAGAGCCCCTCAAGAGAGGAAACACGCAATGGGCCCAACTACTGCGACCGAGACTTTGTGAGCTCCTGATCGGAAACCCAATCCGATAGTGCAAAGCTTTCTTGAACCCTGCGATGCTGAGGCTCTGGCGAAACTGAGGAACTACCCATCGGAAACGAGATGTATTCATCTCCTCCTTTGACAAGCGGCCCCCTCACGCGTGCTCGAAACAACTCTTGCACATGGCATGTGCTCGAAGGAAACCTACAAATAATGTGTTCTTCACATTACAAAAAAAAAAAAGGAAGCAGCTCTGGCCACTCGCGGGTCCTCGGGGATGGCGACCTGCGCCGGCGGCGGTCGTCCACGGGCGCCCGCCGCGGAGGCCTCGAGGCTTCGGAAACCGCCGACTTGGCCGCCCGTGCGCGTAATCGGAACTGCCCCAAGAGCGGATTTGCTGTAAAAGGATTGGCTGTTTGCTGTTTGCCTTAAAAGGAGCTTCGACAGAGCACAGGATATTGTAGCTGCTTTGCATCGGTGAGCTGAATCCAGCGCTGTGGCAATCGTGAAGTGAGATTCCGCGAGCATCAGCCCCACCAGTACTCGAGAGTTTCTCCCCGCAGTACCAGTGCTTAAAAGGTGCTTTCGTTGCAGTGCTTAGCTTGCTCGATTTTGTGTTGCGGCCTGTTTGCCAGCGCTGTGCGAGCGCTGTTCGCGTGGTTTCCTTGAACACACATGCGGGGCATCCGCTGTTTCCCGCGCATGTTGCACTACTTTTCCAGGCGCAGCGATGCCGGGGATGCGTTGCTGCAGCACTTCAAATGACTGCCATGTGGCGATGGCTTGGTTTTTGGGAACTGACAACGCCGTCATGACGCGAGTGATGCGGGAATTGCTGGGATTGTGGGGTTGGCACCATCTCGGAATGATGATGCGAATGCACAGTCTTTGAAGTTTGATGAAGGTCTGTTGCGGATACTGGTGATACAGCAGAACGTGGGCTGGATCCGCACCATCCCAGCCTACTGTCCACACAAAAGCATATTGCTTGGATGAGTGGAGCCTACATTGCTTGACTTCCATTGGTACGGTTTATCCATGTCCAGGGTACAAGCGAGCCAAATCACAAAATCACGTGGGATGTTCCAAAAAGGGACTGGGTCTTTGACAATCACTTTCATTTGCGGACAAGGCACTCTCGCCCTGTGCCACGGCTGGCGCCCTCATTCCTGCGGTTCAAGCAGTGGGGCTCAGGTTGCCTGTCACCAGTTTGGCTTCGACAGTCCTGGCGCGCGGCGTTGGTTCTGCCCGACCTGAAGTCTGGCAGCGTCTACAATGTGCCTATCGGGCTGCATGCAGCTCCCTTGCGTCGCACTGTTGGCGACGGTAAGCCCAGGACGAGATGTGTTCATCTGCAATGGGCGGGGTGCAAGGATGTCATGCTGATTGGCAAGGTTTCAAAGGTTTGACAGTACCGTCGTCAGCTTCAAGACTTGTGCGTGCGGTATCTTCCAGCTTCAAGACTTCATTTTCTGTCTCACAAAGAATATTGGTAGCACAAACATGAACAACTCCACACTGCCCTTTGTCCTGTAATCGGCAAAGTCAGCAACTGTTGCGACGCAATGTCAGCACCACAAAGCATATCTTTGTGGTTCCAGTTAATTGAACAATGGATTCCAGCAGGCCCTTACACTCTCATCTGTGATCAGGCAGTCTAGTGGATGGGAAAGGAATGAACTTTTCGCAAAAATGGCGAACGATATTCAAACATCAGTACAAGCATGCTATCATGCGGCAATGCAGTACAAAGGTTCGATGTCCAAATCGATCTCCTTCAAAGGTTTCATACTACACGGCGTTGATCATGGCAGTAACTAGCAAATGCAATCGTGCTTCGAATCTATTTCAATTGTCGCTTGCAGCTATCCGCCGACCCCTTTCTCCAAAGGGGAGGCGCATGGGAAGGGCTTGTCTTTGTCCTGGTCTTAGTGATGATTATCATCACCACTGATGTTGGGTGGTGGTTCACAGCATCCGGATCATCATCATTACTGTGGCGCTCTTCTTTTTTCATGTACGTTTCAAGTGTGCCGTGAGATTTGACTGGACATGCAGAGGATGCGTTGTCATGATTGTCATGATAACTGCTGCTGATGCTGGGGATGCATACTGATGACGTGAAATGCTGGTGATAATGAGGATGCGTAGTGATGATTATCATCAGGAAAATGCTGATGATGAACATGATAACCATGATGATGATGATCGTGATGAACATGATGATGAAAGCGATGATGGTGGTGTTCATCATCATGTTCCTCGTGTTCATCATCATCATCACATCATCATTTTCATCATCATGTTCCTCATCGTGTTCATCTTTCAAGTGTGCCGTTAGACCCGACTGGAAATGCACGGATGCGGTGTCATGATGTGATAACTGCTGATGCTGGGGATGCATAGTGATGACGTTAACTGCTGGTGATGCTGACGATGCGTAGCAATGATTATCATCAGGATGATGCTGATGATGATGATGATGATGATGAACATGAAAATGGTCATGATGGACCCGACTGGAAATGCAGAGGATGCATTGTCATGATTGTCACTGCTGATGCTGGGGATGCATAGTGATGAACATGATGAGGAACATGATGATGAAAATTATGATGATGATGATGATGATGATGAACATATTCAGACGAGGGCGATGTCCCAGTCCTTTTGGCACTACCGCTTTGTATTCGGCCTTCCTAATCTTCGGGGTCCGTATTTTTGGACACGAATCACGCTTGAAGCTGATTGTCGGGACCCCCCCCTGTCGCATCTTTGGCTAACATGAACATATGATGAACATGAAAAACATGATGAGCATGATGAACATGATGAAGAAAATGATGATGTTCCTCATCATGTTCATCATCAAAACTGTGGCTCTTCTTTTTTCATATACGTTTCAAGTGTGCCGTTAGACCCGACTGGAAATGCAGAGGATGCGTTGTCATGATTGTGATGATAACTGCTGGATGCATAGTGAGGACGTTAACTGCTGGTGGCGCTGAGGATGCGCAGTGAGGAATATCAGGATGATGATGATGATGATGATGATGATGATGATGATGATGAACATCATGATGAAAATGATGCTGGTGGTGTTCATCATCATCATCATCATGTTTCAACATCATCGCCATCGTCATCATCATCATGTTCATCATCATCATGTTCATCATCATCATCATTTTCATCATCATTTTCCTCATCATGTTCATCATCAAAACCGTGGCGCTCTTCTTTTTCACACACACATGTGTGCCGTTAGACCTGACTTGAGATGCAGGGGATGCGTAGTCATGATTGTCAAAATAACTGCTGGTGATGCCGGGGGTGCATAGTTCTTCATCATCATGATCATCATCACCATCACCATCTGATTGCATCCCGAGGTGTGGCTTACAGTACTTCTCGCGAAGACGAAGCGATGGCACAAAGTCCACACTTCGCAACCACAGCAATACATTCAAGTCTTGAGAATAAGAAGAAAAAAATAGGCCCCCAACATGGGTTTCCTGCCCGAGTTTCCACACACCCGAGACACTTCTGGTAAAATTTAACAAAGTGCTTATTATCATGCGAATTTATCCCGCAGTGGCTTGTTTGAGATGCAGGGAATGCGTCTTCATAATTATCAGAACAACTGCTGGTGATGCTAAAAATGCAAAGTAACAAATATCATCATAACTGCTGGCGATAATGCAAATGCATAGTAATAATTATCAGCATCCCTAATGTTGGGAAAAATGCATCATCAAAACCATCATCATTCTCGTGCTGCTCTTCTTTTTCATATTGCTTTAAATGTGCCGTGAAACCCGCCAAAAAATGCGTAGTCATAATTGTCATAACAACGTCCCCTGTCAGCAAGCAGGGGCCGGCGACACAGGGCGGCAGCCCTTAAAATAATGTTTAAAAGTGTTCCTCTTTAGTTGCTGCAAACTGTCTTGCATCTGCAAAGGTTTCGTTTGCCGAATCCAGCCCCAAACAGCCCGAACAGGCCAGGACCGCTCCGCTCGGTCGTGCATCCCGATAGCCTAAGAAACAGGTCTTGGCTGCAGCGGGAATTCGAACGCGACTGGAATGAAGCTGGCACTTAAATCTGGCGACTGCTTATACAACAACTGATTTTTGAGTGCCGTCAAACCTTCCAATCCACTGAACATGGTTCGCACTTCCAACTGGTGTGCAGATTGCCGAATGCGGCCCATCTATCCCTATGGATATGAATCATGGGATTTGTTGTTGCAATGGAAGATACAGGCAGCAAGGATTAGAAAAAATGATAAATCAGGACCCATCCAGTAGAGTTACACTCCTGAAAGCTGAACTCTCAATTCAATGCCTGATACTTGCAACAGGAAAGCCACGGCCATTCGACACATGATATGTTGGATAAGTCAAAGGACAAACAAGCCTTTTGACCAACTGCCGTGTCTGCTTGGAATTTGTTCAGCATGCCCGACAATGCTGAGAGCCGAGCCACCGCCTGTTGGCCTGGCAAAGGCACAACGACAGACTTAAGACATGAACTAAATGCCTCTCGGCAGGCAAATGGTTGCCCACTCCATCGCAAGCTCCCTGACATAATTATTCGAAGTACAATTCAAGAACAATCTTTACATCAAGTAGCTACAAATAGTGTAGCCCCCCCATGGTGTCTCTAGGAGATGCAGCTTGGGCACATCGGCTTCCCATCCCACCCTCCCTGCCTAGGGCTTCTACTTCTGCGGCTGCCTCGGGATCCATGGCACCATCGACTCTAACGCCAAGTACATGACGGAAAAACTGGCTTAAACAACTCATGCTCGCGTGCCCACCCAAAGCTTCCCTTCAATCATCTCACGACTCATGAACCACAAAAATCACTTACAGGCTTGACAAAGCAGAAGGCCTATGGTCCGCAAGAAGCAAGAACCATCTGACCGGCCTGCAGGTGGAGCTCGATTGCTGCCACCTGCCGCAGCTCGCCTCCTGCCCCCAGCCCCCCACCTGGCACATTTGAACTCGCTGCGCTATATCTGCGAGGGCCGAGTCGTGGCGATTCGCAGGAGGGCAAGTTCCATGTCAGGAATGGGTGGCAAGGTGTTGCAGCCCAAGCAATGCAGTTTCACGGCTGTCACAACCTGCGCCGGGTCCTCGGGGGCTCATCACCCTCCAAATAGACATCAATCTGGCGGTCCTTTCTGATGCTCTCATCAGAATGGAACCAAGCTGTGGCAAAAGCCAGCATCTGCAGCCATGTCCAAGTCTGAAACTAGCTGAGTATGCAATGTCAAGCTCTAAGTGCTGCTCATTCAGCTGGCCGCCATGGAATCGACGCACAGCATCCTTTGCTGAGCCTTCCCTGGCATGGATCGCATCTCGCAAAGCACGCCGCTGGATGTGGACAACAAAGGCGACGTCTCATCCAAACGGGTCCAAAGGCTTGTGCCACTATGCGCGGGTTGAAAAGGGTCCATGGATACAACGTGCAGAACTCAGAACTCTTATCCGAGTTTTGGACTCTCGGAAGGTGATTGTGGCAACGTCACCACCCACATTGGCACCTGGTTGCTGAGGTTCGGAGGTTTGGATTTGTTGATATCATTGCCTACAAGGTAACAAGCAAGCCCGATCAAATGGTGGCAACAGGGCAGACATTGCTGGTCTTCCCTGAACTGCTGTCAAATCGACAATTTGAGCTTGGGACTCATAACCTGCCCCACAGAGCGGAAGGCGGTTTCCAGGTCTCGGCCTCACGGGTGCGTCCAACATGAAACCCATGAGGGGAAAAAACAATGCGCTCGAATATCCGGAGGGAGAATTTGCCATCACAGCATGGCCCTTTTTCCAAATAGAATTTGCCCATTGACACCTTGAAACCTTGAGAGCCTGAACCGGTCCGTCGCAAGCTCCCAGCGGTTGATGTGAAGGCCCTGCAGGTTGGAGACGACCTCGTGAATTGGGGCTCCAGAACAGGCTATGGGGAAGCTACACCTTGCCGGCTACAAACACACAGGTGCCCGATTTCTGTTAGCATGTTTCTCAAGGCATGTGTGTGCCAAATCAATGCCCAAACTCTGGATTCAGCGTGGTGAGAGCTTGATTCCCATTTTGACAAGCATATTCCTAAAATAAAAGAGATGTAAAGATTAAAATAGCATGGGCATTTTAATGCTGCTCCAAAACACCATGTTTTCCTAGTCAAGTTGATTGTTGGTAGTCTAAAGGCTAACATGGACGCTAGCAATGGCAGTACTCATTCCATCTTAAGTGAATACGATGAAATATTTTGAAATGAAGGAAAAAAACAAAAATCATTAGAGCCCTTGCAGGATGGTCGGCGACAAATTTATTGTAGTACAACTCTGCTGCAAGATTCCAACTGCTATATGTCTTTTCTTTGCAATCAATCCTCTGGCCCCTCGCCAGGGCTGTGGTGCATTGCGTTTTCTGTGGCCACGGCAATGGTACGCCTCAGGGACATTCGAATGTTAGGACCCTGACGTGGTCTCGCTACTGATGACACAACACCCTGTGAACAAACTATTTGCATGAACAATGTACCCAGCTGACAGACCAGAATTGTATCGAAATAGCTGCAGTTGTGCGCCCAACAGTTCCTATCAGGGCTTGTGCATCTTCCAACTCTCCAACAGGATATCTCATGCCAAGCCAAAGCTCGCTGAAGCCAAAGCCACAAGGCAAACCCGACGACTCTGTAGCTCCCACCTCTCACCTCCGGCATCTCGGCCTTGGAAACATCAAATGAACACTATATGACTCTAGAGTGCAGTTTAGCTGTGAGAAATGTAAAGGTAGGACGTGGGCGAGAACATTTATGGGGGGCCAGCCTCTGCCATCTGCCGGCGGATCATCATGCCTGTATGCTTGCCGAACGAGTGTGAAAGCAAGAATCGATTTAAATTGACTGCATGAGTCTGAGCAGTTTACACAAGCTCGTGTGCTATCCTCAACTGCCGTCAACGTTGGCAGCTTAGAAATAAAATCGAAGCACAGCCTTCTGCGGTCCCTGTCGCGAGGCCTGAGCGTCTGTGGTGTCACAGTATCTGCCAGCAAAGGAACAAACAAAAAATGCAACTCCCCAAGCATGCCAACTGAAGTTGCTCGGGCAAGGTGGAGTAAACCAGCAAACTGAACCAACCTGTGGATTCCCCATGCACTTTGTCACACCATCTCAGCTTGCGGACTCTGGGTCACGTCGATCGCCCTGTCATGAGAAGTGTGCATGTCTGTATGTGTGTGCGTCCTCAAGATCCTTGCAGCTCGAGACTGATGCTAGATTGGCAGGACAAATATTGAAAGTCCGAATTATCTGCGTGGTTCCACTCCTTAAAATGTAACCCCCCTTCATGTTGACAAACAGAATGGCTTCAGGCAGCCAAGGGCCGAGCACGGCCATAGTCATAGTCCTGAGGCAAACCACCGCAGGCCTCGAACTGCCAACACAGCCGATAGCTTGGTCCTTGCCGTAGCCACCACCCCGGCCATATCTATCATCATCCCTGCAAAGCTGACGGTTTGATGCGGCAAAGCGAAGGCAGCTCTGCAATGGAAACTCACACACTATTGGCCTTGCCGCATAGGAGGATTTGCCCCCATAGTCCTCAGCTGCAACCTTTAGGCTCTTCAAACACATTTTTACCTGTGCTGCCAGGAAACGTACTTGTCGTACTTGACATATGTCTTGTCGTACTTGTCATACTTGTCGTACGATTTGTCGTACTTGTCGTACGACTTGTCATACGGCTTGCTGTATGACTTGTCGTAGGTCTTGTCGTACTTGTCATATGACGTGTCCATCTTGTCGTAGCCGCCTTTATCATAGCTTTTAGTACCTTAATAGTCGAAGACTACAATGACATATGATGACATATGCACAAAGGATGCTGGAACCTCTGAGGCTGTTGCCACTTCCATAGGAAGTCCTTGGTTCGGGAGCACGTACGTCTTTGATCAAAGTTTGATGCAGAAAACAGAGGTTGGCAAATAGGATTCGTCCAATACTGTTCCGAACCTCCATCTTCCAGCTGAGGCCACGACTTGTCATAGCCGGACGACCAGTCCTTCTTGCCGGACCAGGAGGAGTCCCACTTTCCGCCTCCCAGCCAAGTAGCCAAGGAGCCAAGCGGCTGCATCCCGATGGCTCTTTTCTGAAAACATTCGGGATCAACGAGGTGCCTGCGCTTCCATAGGAATCGCTGCCCTGGCGGAAAGGACTCGCACAGCGTCAATTGTTCAACAAGGGCTCCTTCTTCCAGTCTGAAGACCCTTTCCAGTCTTTTCCATCCTTCCAATCCTTTGCAGTCACTCATCCCATGAGCGCAAATGCCCAATGGGGCTAAGGACAATGCAAACTTGACAAGAAACGCCGCAAAGTGCATGACGCATGCAGAAAGCGCTCAATGCACCGAGCCCGCTGCGCTCTTGGATCCCCCACTCCACTTGCTGTCCTCGCAGGTGCAAAGGCTATGAAGGACACAGGTCGAGGTCAATGCTACGCGCTCGCAACTGAGCCATGGCCAGACTGCAAATGCCGCCAGAATCAAAGGTGCCTTGGCATCCTTCCAGTCGTCCTTTTTCTTGGATGACCAGTCCTGCACTCTTCAGCCAGCATCCCGGATCTTGCAAATGAACACAAGAAACCTCGCAAGGCCTCCCAGTCTTTGCCTCCCGCACTGCTCTTCTTCCAGTCTACCTCGCAGCACTGTGAAGGGCATGTGCGACATGAATGAATCAAGCCACAGAAAAGGCAATTTTACGCACTTAATCAGTCATCAAACACGGCGAGATCATCACTCGAGCTTCATGACTAGGCCCCTTCCCTCCAAAAACAGGGAAAGCCAATTCGTAAACGGATTTCCTTCCGGGAGGCCTTGTCATCACCACCGGCTTTGTCATCTTTCTCACCCTTGTCCTCTTGCTCTCAGTTGGGCCCCGCGCACGCTTTGGCATAGGCTGGGAACCCATCTGTATTGAGAAATTAACAGCATGAATTGCTGCTGAATAAATCAAAATGTGTGTGTGTGTGTGTGTGTGTGTGTGTGTGTGTGTGTGTGTGTGTGTGTGTGTGTGTGTGTGTGTGTGTGTGTGTGTGTGTGGTGTGTGTGTGTGTGTGTGTGTGTGTGTGTGTGTGTGTGTGTGTGTGTGTGTGTGTGTGTGTGTGTGTGTGTTGTGTGTGTGTGTGTGTGTGTGTGTGTGTGTGTGTGTGTGTTGTGTGTGTGTGTGTGTGTGTGTGTGTGTGTGTGTGTGTGTGTGTGTGTGTGTGTGTGTGTGTGTGTGTGTGTGTGTGTGTGTGTGTGTGTGTGTGTGTGTGTTGTGTTGTGTTGTGTTGTGTTGTGTTGTGTTGTGTTGTGTTGTGTTGTGTTGTGTTGTGGTGTGTGTGTGTGTGTGTGTGTGTGTGTGTGTGTGTGTGTGTGTGTGTGTGTGTGTGTGTGTGTGTGTGTGTGTGTGTGTGTGTGTGTGTGTGTGTGGTGTGTGTTGTGTGTGTGTGTGTGTGTGTGTGTGTGTGTGTGTGTGTGTGTGTGTGTGTGTGTGTGTGTGTGTGTGTGTGTGTGTGTGTGTGTTTGTGTGTGTGTGTGTGTGTGGGGTGTGTGTGTGTGTGTGTGTGTGTGTGTGTGTGTGTGTGTGTGTGTGTGTGTGTGTGTGTGTGTGTGTGTGTTGGGTGTGTGTGTGTGTGTGTGTGTGTGTGTGTGTGTGTGTGTGTGTGTGTGTGTGTGTGTGTGTGTGTGTGTGTGTGTGTGTGTGTGTGTGTGTGTGTGTGTGTGTGTGTGTGTGTGTGTGTGTGTGTGTGTGTGTGTGTGTGTTTGTTTGTGTGTGTTTGTGTGTGTGTGTGTGTTTGTGTGTTTGTGTGTGTG